TCCTATGGTTACCCAAGTTTGAGAGGTTTTGTCAGACCCTTAAGGATGATAGAAGGTATGGCAACTATGGACTTGGCTATAGGCTAGGTCCCAAGGGAGGATCTGTATTTCCAGATACAGATTTAGTAGCATTAAATGGAAGACCAAAGAGAAATGATGACAGAGAGATGAGTGGAGAGGGAAGGGTACAATATACCTTTTACGGGTCACAGCTTCCCTGGGTTTCACTGACTTCTTCTGTCTCAATAACACAAATAGATTTACTTTGTTTCCACTGTATGATAACATACTAAATTAGATTTAAGGGGAGCAACTGAGTGATAAAGTTTATCTTTAGATGGATTCTTGGTTTCTTCTCCTTAGCCATAAAAAGTTGTTATTCGCATCAGAGGCAGCACATTCTAAAGAAAATAGGAACACAGGCTTTGGAGTTTAATATGTTATCTCAGCCGGGCGTGGTGGCTCATGCCTGTAATCCCAACACTTTGGGAGGCTGAGGTAGGGGGATCACTTGAGGTCAGGAGTTCCATACCAGCCTGGCCAACATGGTGAAACCCAGTCTCTACTAAAAACACAAAAATTGGCCAGGCGTGGTGGCGGGCGCTTGTAATCCAAGCTACTTGGGAGGCTAAGGCAGGAGAATTGCTTAAACCCAGGACGCAGAGGTTGCAGTGAGCTGAGATGGCGCCACTGCACTCCAGCCTAGGCGACAGAGTGAGACTCTGTCTCAAAAGGAAAAAAAAAAAAGAGCTAAATTAAAGAGCAATAGATCACCTTTTATTTGTATATAACAACAACAACAACAACAACAAAAACCCAAAATAGACAAGAAATGAAAAAGCTGAAAATTCAAACTCTTATTTCAAATGGTATACATTTTCTTATGAATTACCCAAAATGTGAGTTAAGTACCCAAGAATCAGAATAAACCCTTCCTCATGATTGTTGGCCTCTTATATTGAGCTCCTCCTCAATATAAGAATTTTCTGAACTCCAATATGATCTCTTGAGAGTGATAAGCAACCTAGTAATAATGTTAAGTCCCCAACATGAAGAGTTTCGGCAACAAAAACAGAAGGTTAATTCTACTTAAGAGACACAGCAGCCCTGCTAGTGATGTTCCCAAATGAGGTAATGTCCATGGCTCTTATCTAGCCTTTATTGAGATTTAATGTCATTTACCCCTGGCTCTCATGAATCTGCTGCATAACCTCACCTTTTCTAATGTGTGTTACTTCTAACCATCTCAACACAGCAATTATGAACCTCTGGTTTTTAAAATGATTAAGAAATGAATCCCACATGTTCTTTTTTTTTGCAAGTGTTATAATTTGAGTCTTTCTTCCATAGTCCCAGAAAATTCAGAGATCAGCATATTTCTTGTTTTGAAGGTATACTATAGAAATACTCTGAGATTTGATATATTTATGTAAACATTTTCAAAGCGGTCAAAATGTATAATTCAAGAAAATGTTCTGTGAAAGAATTTGTTTTCTGACTACAAAATGATTTCCTGCTTTTGAAAAAAATAACAACTTTATATTTACTTAGCTGGCTCTGGAGATCCCATGGAGATGATCATTCCTTTCAATCTCTAACACCTCTTTTCCAGGTGCAGGCTTTTTAATGATTTCAAAGGTAGCTTTATGTGGAGAGGAATCTATAAGATGTAGAAAGGAAAAAGAAAAAGAGCCCTTCCCAACTTAACCCTTTATGCTTTCCCCAGAAAGAACCACAGGATGGACAGAACTAGGACAACACAGGTGTGACACTCAAATGGACACGCCAGAAAGACTTTCCACATCCCTTTGACTTCTTTTTCTGAACCAGGGTAAACCAACCTTGATAAAGGTAGGAATCTGCCTGACAAACATGAATACGATACCCAACACCCACATTTGCTGGCTTTTATTCAACAAGCCCTTCATCTCACCAACACTTAGGAACAAGAGCAACAACCACAACAAACCCAGAGTTCTAGGGTTTTACCCTTTCCACAGGATTTCACATTTTATCTAGCAGAAGAAGTAAACTTGAGACTATCAAAAGCAGCCCAGAGGCAGAGCAACAGACCATGTTTTGTTGCTGGGCAGACTGGTGAAACTCAGCCAGAACTGTCAGTAGTGTGTATGGGGAACAAGGCTGGGAGGCTCATTTGCACAACTGATGAGAGAGCCCAAGAAGCAACTCCAACCAAACTATTTGGACAAAGTTCAGCCAAGAGTGGATCTTCAGTAAAGAAAATCTGATGGCTTATCCACTTGACAAGCTAGGCCTTCCTTCTAACTCAGATACACTTTGTAAAGGCTGTTCTGTATTCCTCATCATTCCAGCCCTGCTCTTTCGAAGAATCAGCAGAGTCTGACACAATCAAGAGATATAAATTTTGAGGCAGAGCAAATAATTTTTGGGTCACAATGGTCCATCTTTAAGACCAAGACAATAACCCCTGCCCCTCTCTTCATCACAGGGATGTAGTGAGAACTCAAGGGAGATGAGTGCTCAAGAGCTGATAGTAAAGAAAAGACCTAAGACCCATAATGTATGTAACATAGACTAGATGATCTCAAACTGCAGTCTGGGGCAGTGCCATCTTTTCAAGAGGTCCCCAAGACAAATTATTTTCAAGTGATGCCAAGAAAATAGTTTCCTCTTTTACTCTCATTCTCTCATGAGTGTACAGTGGAGTTTGCCAGAGGCTACAAGGTGTGTGAGGATGTCATTATTTTGATGACTAATGCAATATGTACTTGTGAGTCCTCGTGTTTTAATATTTTCTCAAGTTTACTTTTTTTTTTGAGACAGAGTCTCACTCTGCCGCCCAGGCTGGAGGGCAGTGGCATGATCTCGGCACACTGCAACCTCTGCCTCTGGGGTTCAAGCAATTTTCGTGCCTCATCCTTCCAAGCTGAGTAGCTGGGACTAAAGGCATGTACCACCACACAGTTAATTTATGTATTTTTAGTGGAGATGGGGTTTCGCCATGTTGGCCAGGCTCGTCCTGAATTCCTGGCCTCAAGTGATCTGTTCAGCTCAGCCTCCCAAAGTGCTGGGATTATAGGCATGAGCCATCACACTGGCCTGTCTCAAGTTTACTTTCTAATTGAATATTGATAGAGAAAACTCTCTGGGAGCCGTAATAGCTTTTAAGAGTCTAAAGAGGTCCTGAGACAAATTTGAAAACTGCCAACCTAGAACTTCAGTCCCACCCAAACCAGTAGGTTCCCACTCAGGGGCTACCTTCTCACCCACTGGGAGCCTTTATGCTGCTCTCTTTGCATGGGAGACTCCTTCCCTTTCTTTACTTGGCTAACTTCTTCAGTCTCTGCTTAGATGTTGCTTCCTCTGGGACATTTTCCTCGATTTCCCAGAGGAGCCTGGTGGCCCTGCTATGTGTTCACCCAGCACTTAGCGCACTACATTGTGATTGCCTATTTTCTGGTACTTTTTTGTCCTTGGCTCCTTCAAGGCAAAAACTGACTTACTTGCTATTATGACTGTGACACAGTGGTATGTAGTAGGCATTCAGTAAATATTTGTTGAATATAGAAAACAATCAAGGAACGGCCAGGCACAGTGGCTCATGTCCATAATCCCGGCACTTTGGGAGGCCAAGGTGGGTGGATCATTTGAGGTCAGGAGTTCGAGACCAGCCTGGTCAACATGGTGAAACCCAATCTCTACTAAAAATACAAAAATTGGCGACTGTGGGAACAGTGGGGGTGCAGAAAGCTCGTAATTCCAACTTCTCAGAAGGTTGAGGCACAAGAATGGCTTGAACCCAGGAGGCAGAGTTTGCACTGAACCGAGACTACACCACTGCACCCCTGCCTGGGCAACAGAGTAAGACCCTGTCTCAAAAAAAAAAAAAAAAAAGAAAAAGACAAAGATAGTTCTACCTTGCATTCTTATTACCTAGGGAGAATGAGTTATGAAATAACTAGTTTTCATTATAGTACAGATTTATTAAAATTAATAATAATAGACTATCTATATATCTTGTGGTGTACCAGGCACTATTCTAAGCATGTTGTATGTATTAACTCCCTTAGTGTTCACAGAGTTCCTATGAGGTATATGCTACTATTATCCTTATCTCAAAAATGAAGACATGGATGTATAAGTAATGAGGGGTAGATCTGAGATTCACACCCAGGCTGTCTGGCTCCAAAGTTTCATCTTGTTAATCACTCCAGCCACTGCCTGCCACATCAGCAGTGTCGATCTCAGGCTTATAACATGTATTGAGATCTCAAGGCCATCTCTCAACTCTGTTCATAAACCGGGAACATGACCTGACATTTATATTCCACCCCTAACCCTATGCCCATGTGAGCAACTATAGCAGCCATTTGAACACAAGACCTCACCAATACTACCTGTCCTCAAGTTAGGGTTGAAATAGGGCAGTTTCAGCAAAAAGTCTCTTTCTCGTTTATTTTTTGTATGTTACTTTTTTCTAGAAGAAGTGTTAGGTTAAAAACAAAAAACTTGTACATTTGTTCAAAATAATAAGGTTTTTTGGTAGCACAGAGAAAACAGGAAAGGTTCAATACTTCCATGTACTAAGGTGCTGTGCCACAGGGCAAACTCTCCCTGATGTGTCTAACTCTTCCTGTGCCTCTTAGGTTAACCTCTCTCAAGGTAGCTTCCAGTTTTACTCTGAATAGGTAGTAGCCCAGAATGTTTTGCAGGCATACTTGATGGAAAAGACAAAGTTTTATCTGGCTCACAGAGGTAAGGCCAAGTGGGAGAAAGTATACTGTAGAAAACACGGGATTTATTGCAAAAGATAATCTGAGAGAATCACAATGTAACACTGTAGTGATATTTGGGATGAAAAAAGCATAACTAGGAGATACCTGATCTTTCAGAAGTAGAAAAAAAGTTCTACAAAGTTAAGAGGCTGTGTATCAAATCTTCACCAGCTAACAGTACATGAGAAACCAGAGTTCATCTTATGGTGTTTGACAGAAGTCACACAAAGCAACTTTACTTACCTGGAGAAGTGTCCCATGAATATGGTTTTGCCGGAAACACTGGTCAGTGCAGCTGGGGAGTGTGGCCAACAGAGTTCGAATGGTATTAGGAATGTGATCTATCATAACAAATGGGACCAAGGCACGAGCTGCCATTTCACGGGAGTGATAGACAGGTGAGTGACCACACCTGGGGAGAAATAAAAACACAAGACCATTCAACAGTCATCTCTACATCTGTCTTTGTATATACTTACATTCTATCTAGCATGGGCTGGAACATTCAGGGGTTACGGGGAGACAGGAGTTGCTCCTTATTCCAAATGATGTTTTGTATCTGCATTAGTTCTACAGGTGACTTTGCTTTGCTTAAAAACATCGTTAGCACCTATAATTCTTTATCATGGAGATTAAACATAGACAGGCTTGGGAATAACACAATAAACAGGTAGTATCAAAAAACAACTTACTCGTTAACTATTTATTGGGTATTTATGATAAGCAAAAGCACCATGATAAGTGCCATAAAAAATAAGACAGTCACCATTGTCTTTGAAGAGCCCATACTTTGGTTGGCCAGAGGAAAAGTATATTTGAAAAAATGACCAAAAGTACGAGACAGTATACGAAAAGTGAGAAGCAAGTGATCTTGACATTATGACTATAGAAAATCTGAAGAAGGATGGAACTCAGGAAAGCAAGCATGATTCAAGTAGGCCAAGAAAGATCTGAAGTCATTTCAACCAAGGGCAAAGTGGTATAAAGCAAGACTAGAAATACTCAAGGTGTAGGTAGATGTGTAGAATGCAGAGGTTCATGAATAACAGTAAAAGTTAAGGCTGAGAAGTGGGATAGGCCATACTGGGGAGTGCCACAAAGAGCATAGTCCATGGTCTGAACTAATTGTTAAGAGAACAAGAGATGGACCTTCAAATCACCAAATCCTTGCCTCTGGGCTGACTCATACCCAAAGAGCTGGAATAAAAGCCAGTTCTTAAATAGTGAAAGTCGTGGACAAGGGTTATTTTGAGATTCTAGAAAGGTCATTGTAAAGGCAGGTCATCTACAAGTCATCTTCATAAACACTCAGAACCTGAAAGGCCATAACCATTTTGTTGAAACTGTGCACTTTAAAGCCTCCACAGATATGAGATTGATTGATTGAGAGTAAAGTAAAAGTCTTCACAGATATGAGATTGAGAGGAAAGTCCAATATGCTAAGTACCAGCTTAAATAAGTTCTTGACTAGAACACTCAAGACTTCATGATTTTTCATGCAATTAAAAAGTAACTCAACTTACAGAAATGTCTTAGATGACAAGAATAGGGAAGGTCAGAAGATGGTAGACTCTGCAGGGGAAAAGAGATGGCCTCTTGACTTTCTTCAAAATTAATCTGTGTACATGAAGGAATTACTTGGTAAGAATCAGGCCATTAGGGCTACATGGCCATGTTGGCTCAGGAGTAGAGGGACAGGGCCCTACAATAGCAATGTTTCTAATACCTTAGAGGTTATCGCCAACGTTTATTCTAATATGCCAAAAGAAATACAGATACAATTTCTGTACAACTAGAATAGTCGGAGCAGAATTTCATCATGGTGTTGGGGGAGGTAGGGGAAGAGGAGAAAGAAGTATGGGGTGAGTTTAAAAAAAATATATGCTATTTTTCCCCCTAAGACAGTTCTGTCTGTCAGGCAGGTCCTGCAGCACAGTTTCAGGACGGAGAAGAGGTCACCCCACATTATCTGTGGGAAAACAGAGAGCTATGGTTACAGTAGTTGTGACAGTTCCCACAACTCATTCATTTTCTCACTTATTCTTTTTAAATGATTAAATGTTTAATCTGTAACTGGCAAATGCAGAAAAATGTTTGCTTTGGTCTATAGGAAATGATGAGGGAGGGGTCAGGGAGAAACTTCACTTGATTAAAAAAAAAAAAACTCTGAAATTCAATGTTTTGAGATTTAATTAGCAAATCACCTCACTTAGTATGGCACAGTCATTTGTCGGAAGCTTCCCTTTCCGTCTGTCACCCACCTCTCCAATGCACACACTTTGTGTTACAGTGTGTTTTATGTTACCGAAAGGGCTCTTGTATATAAATGTTTCTTTTCAAATACAAATAACTCTGACATGGTTACAGATGTTTAGTTTCCAATTAGCAGTGACTGTACACTAAAGAGTGCCCCTCCTTTTGCTCCTGACTTTTGTAAATGATGATTTCCCAAAGGATTCTGGCATCCATACAAGAGGAAGAATGGAAAGTGGGAAAAGTGCCAGTATTTTCTGCTTTTGGATACCCTGTGTTAGGGTAGTTTCCAAATGCACACAACAAGGTTAAAAAGCAAAACAAAACTTCTCCTCAAAAAAGTAACACAATTACCAAAAAAGAAGCCAATTCTTGAAGTAATATTTAATTAAGTAACATTCATTATAAAGCAATGGTTAAATATTCCATCACAAATTCTTTAGATGGAAAGATTAGATCATAGACAAATTTATACATATATATGTAAACACTAAGAAAAAAATTTCTAGGTTACTGTTTTGTCACCTACTGGGGGCAGGGAGGGGGTCTGAGGAGCACATTTAGAATCTAGTAGCTATAAGAATAGAAAATTAGAACACCTGGATTTTCATTCTGCTTTGGACACTGAGTTCTGTGACTTGTAAAAGTCACAGAAACCTCTCTGAGTATCAGTACAGTTGAGAATGGTGGCAATGCTTTCTACCCAGTGGTCTGACGTGATGTCTAAGAGAACACTCCAAGTAGGAAGGACTTCAGAAATTCCAAGTTTTTACAGTGCACTGTGCCTGTGTCTAGTAATAGCATCAGTATATTCAAGAATTGCAGGCCTATAAGTGGCCCCAGGAAGAGAATTAAGAACATGTGGTGAATTCTATGCTGCTTTAAAAAGTTAAGACAACATGTTGATAATATGAAGGCAAAGAAGGTCTTTTTTTGGCCACCATTAAAAGCGGTGAGGAAGAGTCTCAAGCCCTTCTGAAATAAGTGGGATAGCCCCTGTCTCTCTAAGTTTCTTCCATAAAAGAAAAAAATACACTTAAGGTCTCAAAGGTCATTTCTACTTTTAACATTCCTTGAAAATCAGTCCCTCTAATAGCCCTAAGCTGTGTTCTAGGCCTGAATACTAGGTCCTCCACAGAATCTACAAGGTACAGACACCAGTGTCTTAAAACTTCTAGCCCTCTCACGTCAATAAACCCTTTCTATGTTCATTTTAATCACATATTTATTGACTGCCTACCATGTCCTCGACACTGTGTAACATAACACATGACACTTTTATTTTTTTTTTTTTTGAGACACAGTCTCACTCTGTCACCCAGGCTGGAGTGCAGTGGCGCAATCTTGGCTCACTGCAAGCTCCTCCTCCCGGGTTCATGCCATTCTCCTGCCTCAGCCTTCTGAGTAGCTGGGACTACAGGCGCCCGCCACCTTGCCCGGCTAGTTTTTCATATTTTTAGTAGAGACGGGTGGTCTCGATCTCCCGACCTCGTGATCTGCTCACCTCGGCCTCCCAAAGTGCTGAGATTACAGGTGTGAGCGACCGCGTGCCTGACCGAGACATGATACATTTTTAATAAGAATACTTGCATCCCACAATTGTACAGCACTTGACAGTTGATAAAATACCTGCACACTTGTGATCTCTTTACTATGCAACTTCCCTGTAGGACAAAAGGGCATTATGAACCTAAATTAACAGATGAAAAATAAAATGAAGCTCAGAAGGGCTCAGTGAAAACTCCGAGGGCTAAGTCCAGGATGTGTAAGTAGCGCTCAGGCCAGACTGTGACCCAGAGCTCTCTGGCTACTCAACCTGTAGCTCACACCTGGAAATCAAGGGAGCATAAAAATATCTCCTAGCTAACAAAAACACAAACTGTAATTTATACATATGTGGAAAATTTCTAAATGAATGTTTTGTTTTTTTTTAAACATTTTAAGGATAACGAAAATATTTCAGAAACTAATGTAAACTATGAACTCTCTCACAAGAGGAATATATTTATGAACATATACACACAATTTCCCATACAGTTTCAGGTTCGTGACACACATCCAAAACCCTTGAGGAGGGAGTTTCCCAGACCCAGGTGGGGAACCTCCTGCTGCTCTGTCGCATACATCAATGACAACACAATGTGGCTGTCAGGTGTGTGCTCTGCTGCATGTGACATAGCAGTGGAGAACACTGCTCACAGGGAACCACCAGCTTAGAGGTGACATACAGTCTGCTCATCACAAATCAGTGTACCCATGCAGACATACACAGCTGTAGAGTGGCACAGAAAAGTCAAGTGGGAGGCAGAGCTGAAACAACTTTCTGGAACAGATAAAGGACCTTCAAATGAGGGTGAAATACACACTTGAGCTTAACACTTGAGGAACCCAGAGGAGTTCAGAATGCAGTACTCTCAGCAAAAAAAAGGACCATTGAGCTGAGATCATGCTGACTTCACCACCTTTCACAGAGTGAGGGCTAAGCTTCTTCTACGTGTTCTTGTTTCATATCTACCATCACAATGTGTTCTTTTTTTCTGAAAGATTTCAAAGGAAAGCGGCTATACATCACCAAAACTGCCTCTGCCCACCCACATCTGTAGGGACGTCTACTGAGTACTTAGCACAAGCACACACTTGGTCAGGTACCAGAGAATCGGAGAGAAAACCACTGCCTAGGCCACAAGGAACTTAACAGTCTAGTGTGGAACACAGAAGAACCAGCCAATGATTCTCAGGCCATGAGAAGTAAACACAAGCTGCTGCTGCTGTGTAAGTGCGACACCTGTGTGTGCGAGTACTAGTCTAGGTGATCATGCCCAGCTCTGCCTAAGTGGGGAGAGGTGGGGAGAGGCAGAGAGCGCTTGGGTTTGGCAAGAAAGAAGTCCTTCCCCAGACCTGTGCCTTTCCCTATGTGAACCCAAACTGTCCCTCAGGGCATCCAGACAAAAGGAAAGGAACTGAGAATTAAGTTACTAGTATGTGCCGGGACTGGCTAGGTGCTTTAGATACACTATTTTAATTATTTCATTAATCTGCATCCCAAGGTCAGTGTCATTATTCCTATTTTAAGATGAACAGAGTGAGGTTTCCCAGCATACTTTGGGTCATAAAGTTAGCATAAAGTCCGCATTTTAATTAGGGTCTGTCTACCTACAA